ATCAGTAACGTGATTTACATGTCACAAAGTTGTGATACTAGTGACGTGATTATAACGTCGCAATTTGGTGACGTGAAAATCACGTCACAACTTTTTTTTTTATAAAACAAACAAAAGCTGGATGCAAGAACAGGTGTTATATGTTATTAACTAGTGACATGATTTTTCCGTCACTAATTTGTGATGTGAAAATTATGTGGCAAATAAAGTATTTTTTCTGATTTATTGAGTGATGCACTTGCTTCTTTTGTAAAGGTAGAATTTCTATACAAGCATGTTGCGATGTGATTTTTACGTCACAATTTTGTGACATGAAAATCACGTCGCAAAAAAATTTATCACCCGCTCCCAACCATGTGATGATTCACATCGTAAATAAGGAGTTGTGACGTGAATTTCACATCGCAAATGAAATTTTTTTTGAAATGATGTGATAAAGTGATTTATAAATTCTTTCAATTTTACATGAACTGTCTATGTAGGAGTATAAAGTGTGCAGCATGCTACAGCAAAGTGGGGCATCTAGTGGATCACATGAAGAGTTTGCTTAATAGATGAACATGAGAATCTCCTCAAAGCTAGCCTGTGACTAAAGCAGCACCATAAAGACAACATTCTCATCTGACTAAAGACAGGATTTAGTGCAAACATTTGGAAAATCTCCTTCAGCTTCGTTACGTGCTTCCATTAATGTTATTATATTTTATTCTTACTTATTGTACTTCTTCATGTAATCACAATCCTCTCATTAATATACCAGTTTCATATCCTTTAATATACCAATGTGTACCAATAATTTTCCTACCATTATATGAAAGGAATTTGTAATCAGCTATTAACGTATTACAGTGGGAGCTGTCAAAGTTTTTTCCTTGTTGACATATTCCATGCCAACGAGCTTAGAATACCTGCACCAACCATTACAAGCTTTCCATTTTTCTTTCTTCTTCTTAATACTGTGTTATGAAAAAAATTAACTATCATCGTTTCATAATTAACCATACTAATTTATTCACTTAATTTTAAGGTTTCATATTAGACCATACTGTTAAAAGCGAACATGTTATAATGAGAAAGAGATTTAATAAAATCTGTCTATGAAATGCATATATTAAAACGGTAAGAAATACTTTGCATGAAATATTATCAAATCAACGAGTTGCTTTGAGTTATAGAAACATCTAACTCTTATCTGAGATGAGTGAGAATGATAGCATGCAGGTTGATTTTATTTTCCACTTCCAATTTGAAGATGATAAATCTACTTCATGAACTGTTTGATGATTGTTTCCATAATTTTCACGATCATAATTTGCATGATCAGACGCTTGTAGGAATTAGTGTATGCATGCATGTTATTGGTGGCACTATATAGTAATGCGTTATCTGAAGTCATTGGATTAAAACTCAACAAAATGGGTTATTTCCATTTTTAATTTATCAGTTATGTATATAAGTCACTCAAGATTTATTTATTTTTTAAAATTCACATATAAATAAAAAAGTTAATATCATTTTATCTCTGTTATATAAGTGATTTTTGATTTTGTATTCTGTAATTTTTTTTTGAAAAATTATCTTTGTCATTACATAGGCGATTTTTGATTTTGTCGAATGTAAAAAAAATTTTGAAAAAATATCCTTGCTATTTCAAGAATAACTTTTACACAACAAAGGATAAAACTCACGTTCCATAGGTAATGGGACACATACCTTAGCCACTGGGGCATTGTATCTGTGTTGTTTAATATTATATATATATATATATATATATATATATATATATATATATATATATATATATATATATATATATATATATATATATAGGTTTTAAAAATTTTATTATTTAATATGTTTTTAATAAATTAATTTTAGTTATAGTTAATTTTAATTCATGTGATATATTTGGAACTTATTATAGTTCCAATTTATTCTAAATTATTTAATTTTAATATTTTATTAAAAATTATTATTTGATACATTAAATTTTAATATTATTAATTAAAATTTATATATGGAAATTAAATTTAAACTATTATTAATTATGAAATAGTTTAAGCAAAAAAATATATGACAAACAATTAAATAATGGTATTCCTTTTAAATTATTATTAATTATGAAATAATTTAAGTAAAAAATATATAACTAACAATTAAGTAATGTATACATTTAAGTAGCAAAATAATACAAGAGAATACAATGGCTCATTTTAGAGTATTGCCATATTTATTTTTTCCAAACTTCAAATAATAATAACTAGATAACAACATGACATTTAAAATAATTTAAAAAATAATCATAAAGTCACGAGTCAATCTTTTTAAAATTAAAAAATAAAAAAAATAAAAAATAAAAAAAGTCAGAATACCACCTAAACAAATAGCGTGTATCATTTTTCCTCAATGTTTAAATAAATAGAATCTTGAAATAATAAGAGTGTTTTTTTCAAAAAAAATAAAATTTACAGAGAACAAAATCAGAAATTACTTATATAATAGGAATAAAACAGTATTAACTATAAATAAAAATGTGTGTGAAGAAGGATAAAAAAGTATAAAAAAATAAGAAAAAAATTAAGAGTGTGATTTTTTTTTGAAAGATATAGATAAATAAAAGATGAATAAACTCAATTTAATCTTTAAAAATTATTTCCTAGTCAATTTAATCTCTAAACCATTAAAATTAAGAAAAAGGTCCTTAAACTAGTTTTTCATTCAATTATTAAAGTACTAAAGAAGTCTAATCAATTTGGACATTGATTTTAATAGTTAAGAACTAAATTGACAACTGAGTGATAGTTTATATATATATATATATATATATATATATATATATATATATATATATATATATATATATATATATATATATATATATATATATATATATATATATATATATATATATATATATATATATATATATATATATATATATATATATTAATTTGCATGTTTATTCGTCTTCAACAAAAGATAGATTATGAGAGATTTTGATGCAGAAAGACTAATCACAATTTTCCTCTAAACATTTTTATTATTAATTAAATTTGAAAATTAAATCTATGACTTTGAATTTTTAGAAGAAAATATTGATACAGTCTTATGGGAGGAATGCAAATTTATCCTAGAGAAAAATTTAATTGAAATATTTATTTAAATTATTTAATTGAAAATATAGATACCGTCAATTTTAGTTTATTTAAATTATTTATTATTTATTATAATTTTTTATTAAATAATATATTTTAATAATTATGATGTATTAATTTACACTAACAAATGCTTTCATTATATTAAGGAAAGTAACAAGACAAAATAAAGAACATAATTAAAGAAAAAAAGAAGATAAATCTTTTTGATACATAGCAATTAAACTCTCTTAAGAAATACTTTCATTATATCAAGGAAAGTAACAAGACAAAATAAAGAACATAATTAAAGATAAAAAGAAGATAAATCTTTTTGAATTGAAACTTTAGAAGAAACTTTATAAGAAAAAAATGTTGGTTCTATCTAGTCTAGTTTTCTTAGTGCCAAGCTTTTTTATATTCTGTTTTTCCTTTTTTTTTGCAATATACTCCATCATATTTTTAAAAAGCGTTCATACTTTGTATAATTTACCTTATCTTTACCAGAAAATAGGAAATATATTTAGTAAAAAATAATTTTATTCTGTTATGTAATAGACAACGTATATCTCATAAAATCATATTAATAATATTTTAAAATCAAATTAGAGGCCAAACCGATAATACTTTTGATTTAAATTTGATTTAATTGATTAAATCTAAGATCAACAAATAAATTAAAATTCTAAAGATAAATTTTAAAGATAAATCATATATTCATATGTTTATAAATTAATAAATTAAATATTTTAAAAATTTATTATAAATTTAACACTATAAAATTAATGATAGATATAATTATATGATACACTTAAAGAAATAAAATTACAATATAATATAGTATTATAATTTAAAAATATATATTATTCTTTTGTGTTAAAGAAGAATTTTTTATTGTGAAGTAAAAATGTTTTAAATATTGATGCAAACATAATAATTATTTATTATTTTTTTATAAAAAAATATTAAAATTGATCAATAATAAACATTTCTCTGAATTAAGTAGTTTTATAAAACAGATTCTTTAATTCAATAATTTTGAGTAATTCAATTTAATTTTTTTAATTTTACTCTAATTTTGATCCACATACAGTTTTACAAAGCTAATTAAATCAGAGCCACTTTCAATTTTTAGTCTAACCGATTGACCAAACGATTTAGTCTAATTTTTAAAATATTAATTAATATTTTGAAAACAATTTAAATGATTTAACAGGTTAATGATTTCTTATTAAACCATCGAGTAAAATTTCTTTGGATGTCCAGTAAACTCCAAATTTATTTAAAAACAATAATTGTAATTGGTTGGCCACTAAGGATGCTTTTTTTTCCTTAGCAAGGTAGGTTTGTGCAAAAGAAAAAAACAAAAAAAGCAACTAGTTAAAAGTGGTCCCTGCATAATTATTATTTTTCCATTTGTTGGTTATGTTGTTGATAAGTTTAGCCCTACATTCTTTCAAAGATTGTCCACTTATACTTATGATCATTATTGCTCCATAACCCAACTTGTCTTTCATCATTCATCATTCATCATTCATCATTCATCATTCATCATTCATCTACACCCAAACAATGACAAAAATTAATGTACATAGATTAAGACATTAACCAATAAATATTTATTTTCTCCACTCCACTCCAATCCAACAATATTATTATCATTATTTTAAAACATTTCATAATATTTTCTGCACGTTACAAGGAATAACATCACATCACATCACTCACTATATAAATAAACAAAACTATATATACTAATTTGAGAGACTAATACACTTCACTTTACCCTTTTTTTACTTTGCTTGTTTCCCCTTAAACAAACATGTTTACATATATATTTAAATATTTATTTATAGTAAAACATAATTAAACTGTTGCAATTGGTCCCAGGTTAATGTTTGATTCCTTAAATGCTTCAAATCTTGGTTCTTTGGCTTGAAACTTTAACCCTGCATAGAGTTTCATGTAATCCTCAAACACAAATTTTGGGTAAACTTCATTGTTTTCTTCAATCAATGTTGGTGCTGGGTAGATAACAGCATCACTACCAGGGTTGTAGAATGAGGCTATGGACATTCTTGTTCCATCATTTTGTGCTATCACTCGGTGCTCTATGCTTTTGTACTTACCATTGGTTATCACCTGTTTCATAAGAATGGTGTTTTTGAGATGAATTATGTGTTGCATTTTACATGTTTGTGAAAATGTCAATATGAATTTTGAAGAAAAAATTTGTTTACCTCGAGCTGGTCACCGAGGTTGATCACAATGGAGTGATGCATGGGAGGAACATCTACCCAGATGCCATCTTTGAGAAGCTGAAGGCCACTGACTTTGTCGTCTTGGAAAAGGAGGATGATTCCACCTGCATCGGTGTGTGCGCGGAGACCCTTCACTAGGTCTGGTTTTGGGCATGGAGGGTAGTTTGCAATCTTGGTGCCAAAAGTTGGTCCTTTTGATCCATAGAAGGCCTTTTTGAGGTACCCTTTTTCTAATCCAAGATTCTCGCATAACAAGTCTAGTAGCTCCTCTGCTAGTTTCTCTAGTCTCAAAGCAAATTCCTTCATTGATTTCCTGCATAATTGTCTCTAGTAATTTAGAATCTCGCGAAAAGTACAATACATATATAGCTGCAAGTTTAGTTATGAAATACTTGATAAATTTGTTAACATTTCATTCATGCGACAGTGTTGCCAATAACTAATCTCTTATGAAGAATCTAGTTGGTCACTTTTAGTTGATTGTCATTTTCCAACCACATTTTTTTCATTCATGAGACTCAAATCTGAGATCTTGTTTCAGAAATCCAGGTTCAATTTCATTTGGTGCTAACTTAATGTTGGTATCGATCAAATCACCATTTGGTATGGAACAATATTTAAAGTTAACAATAAATATGTGACCTTTTTGTTTTACAAATTCTATATAGCAATGTAAATATTTGATATGTGTAACCTGTATTCATCACTAAGATCAGGGATCTCTGAAATGTTTGACTCAGGTAAGTGACGTAAGTGGAAGGTACTCTCCCAATCCATGTCTTTGACTTCAGTTTGAACAGCTTCAAGCCCTTTCTCAGCCACTAATTCATTGAATCTTTGTTCCATGCATTTCCTGTAGTGTTCTTTTGTCAACCTCTCCACAGTGTCCATCAAGTCATGAGGTATGCCATGATTCACCAGCTACACAAAAAAGCAAACGTAAATAGAGATTTAGAGGCAAATGTATAAAAACTATATGAAAAGAAGAAAAAAGAGTTCTATATATTGAACTCATATAAAGCACCTCAAAGAATCCCCAGTTTTCACAAGCATCTTTGATTTTCTCCATAGTAGCTTCTCTCTTCTCACCATTGATGTTCTCTAAGTTGATAACTGGGAAATTCTCCATATCTCACTCAAACTCTTAGCTTCAACTTTTTTCTATGCTTTTCGTTCAGTTTATTGTAGGTTGCTTGCTTGCTTTAGGATGATATTAGAGTTCTATACAAGGTGGTATTTATAGACCTTTACATCAAAGACCAAATACTCAACCAATTCTTATTTTAAATTTAATTGAATATATTTTTTAATAATCTGATTTGTTCACCTTAATCTTCTTAGCTTTATCATTAGTCCACATCATAACTTGTGCTTATTTTGGGTTCCTTTGCTGAATAGTCTTACACACTTGGCATAAGTTGGACCTACTTGATGGCTATTTTTTTCCCTTCATGAATACTTGACCAAGTTCAACAACAAAGGCTGCCACAAGTCTATTTGTTATGTGATTCTTTTTTCTTTTTTTTAACCATATATTTGAAAATGATGTCTAAGAAGGAGCCTCGAAATCGCAGTTTCCAAACAAAAATAATTCTTTACACGTTCATCCAACACCGTATAAATATACAATTTTGTTTTTTCTTACTCTTCTATTAAAAAAACTACTAACTCGAAGTGTATTACATACTGTCTTCGACGTATGGTATAGTATTTTATTTATTTTCAAAATAGCATTTCTTCTTTCCCAAATCTTATAGCATCCTCACATTAGAAACGAGTACAAGGTTACACATATAACGTGTTTTTTTGTCATAGCACAATCAATCAATATTTCTTAGAATGGAAAGACCATAGGTATCCAAAAAAATAGGTTAAGAGTGGAATGGTTAATAATGACATGCATGCATGTTCTCCTTCATTAATATTTTAGATAGATTAGGTCCTTACACAATAAAGGAGTGTTACAAATTAAACAAAACTCTGGGTTGTTTTGTTGGATATCCTATTTATGCAATTTGGTTTCTATTCTACTCGATTAACAAATTCATTTGTTCTTTAGTATATGGACTTTGCTAATCACAAGCATGAGTTTTAGGACTATCCTAAAAAGTTTCCTTGCACTCCATCCCTTTAAAGTTTAGCCATGCATGTGATCACATCTTATGTCATTAGTATACGACTCTTAATCTAACTTAATTCATCTTCTGGTTGAATTCTCAATCATAATCTTCAACTTTGTTACTTACTCAAATTTTGTAGTGCAATGCACTTATTGTGAGACTTCAAAAATATGTGTTCTGGGTCGGGTTGGTACTTGGCCCATAGATGGGCAGACTCAATACCAGCGTCGTTTAAGAGCTTCAGGTTCAAGTCAGATAGCTGTTAGGGATTTCTCCTACGTGCCCATTAAGGAATGTGGTCAACAATCACATCAACCTCCATTTTCCCTTCGAAAATAATTGGTCTACTGTCCCCATATTTTCGAGGCGCTTTAAAGATGTGAAAAACACAAGAAAAGGGGGTTCGAATTGGATTTTAAACCAACAAACTTTTCTTTCAAAAATCCCTTTTTAACATAAACAAGTTTTATTCACTTATTAATAATAATGATAAGATGTAAGAAGGAAAGAACAAGTTATGTTTATACTAATTCACTTGAAAACTATTAAGCTAGTCTAGTCCACCCGCCAAGGTGATTTCGCCTTTCTCAACAAGGTCTTAATCCAATAATCACACATATTATTACAATGCACAAATAAATGCAAGTGAATAACGTTACAACCTCTAAGACACATTAATCTTAGACTTTTTAAGGATTCTGACCAACTGGTCCCTTAACGCACAATCAAACAATTGTTTGAATACCAGTTTGTTTACAAAAGGTATGCTTCTATACAAGCGAATATGTAAACAATATTTCAAGAATATAGATTAAGAAAAATAAGAAAGCGTATGAACAGTCTTGATAGAATGTGAATTAACATCCTTCTCTCTTAGTCTTTAAGTCCTTTTATAGCCAATAAAATATTATAACCGTTGGAGGGTATTTTTAGAAATTACAGAAAGCTGGCAGCTTGAATAATCACGTGGGGGACAAGATCGTACACAACGTCCGTCCTTCATGGCAGTGGAATGAAATAATTTGTTTGTACCATGTACTTTTGTACCACACAATCTTATCCTCTTTTTCTTCTGACGTCAGAGGCTTCTGAGCACGCGTTGGAAGAATAAGAATAACACTTGGGTCTTCAGAACTTCAAGTCTTCAGAGTCTTCAAAATTGCATCTTCAGAATCTTCAGCACTTGGTCTTTAGAATCCTTTGTTGAACCTTGGGTTATCAGAACTTCAACTTTTCGGAATCTTCAAAACTTCGTCTATCACAATCTTCAGCACTTGGTCTTGAGAATCCTTTGTCTTCAAAAACATAAGTCTTCAGCATCTGGACTTCAGTTAGAACTTCTGTCTTCTGATCTTCAGAACTTGGTTTCTTGGACGAGTATCAGAGTCACAACTTTAGAGTCTTCTGAAGTTTTTGCTACTGTTCATCAGAACTTGTGTAGCCTAGAAGCGAAACTTATTCTCTTCTAATGTCCTGTAAGCACCTTTCATCAAAAACAGAACTTGTTTGTTAAATCTTAAAAATAACAAACATTAGAGTACCAAAATTTTCATACAAACATACTCATTTGTTATCATCAAAACTTAGATATAAATTTGCAGAACCAAGTCTTGTTCTAACAATATCCCCCTTTTTGATGATGACAAAATTATGTATTTTGATGACACACTTTTGTACATAATCAGAAAAAGTAAAAATAAGAAGGGTAAGAAACACTTATCCTTTTTATGAACCCCCCCCCCCCCCCCTGACTCAAAGACTTGATGAAGATTGTATATCTTAATTATGAACCATTTGAGTAGAACTCCCCCTGGTTGCACTAGATCAAATATAAAAATCTTGAGAGTCTTGATGTCAATCATACCAATTGAGATCTTGAAACTTTATCGTCACAAAGACAGATTCCAGATTCTTAATTCAGAGCATGATTATGAACAACCTAATTATGAACTTAAAACTTCTTAGAGTTTGAATCTAAAAATTCTCAGAGTCTGAATCCAAAACCTTGTTTAACACTTTCAGATCTTGACTTTAATCAGAATTCATAATTCCAAGGAAAAAAAAACAATTCTAACAGAAACAGAAGTTTAACTGTGTTAGAATGTAAACAACTCTTTTCAAAGAACGTTTTCCAGAATTTGATTATTAGAATCAAAATATTACTTTCAGTTATTTACTCCCTTTTTTGTCATAATCAAAAAGGCAATTATGTGTGAAAAACATAAAAACAGAAGAAGTAACAAGTAAAAATTAAAGCGAAAATAATACTTTCATTTAATTTAAAAGATCATAAGACATAAAAGAAAATATAAGAAGTAAAACATAAGAAGAAAGTAGTTCTAAGGTTCAGAAGCAAAAGGAAAAATAAAAGTCTAAGGGCCTAGGGTCCAGATGCAGAAGGTGTTGGAGCAGGTATCTTCTCAAGAATCAGCTGCAACATGTTTTGAACACGTTCATTAACAACCTTCTGTTTTATGGTGCTTTCTATGAAAATCGGTTGTTCTCCTCTAATCTCACCAATTGCATTTTCCATACGCGCAATGACCGGATCAGAATAAGACACAACCACCACATCGTGTCTTGCCTTATCAACTTCTTCTGCCGCTTTAGCCAACCTGGGTTCTTCAGCTTTTCTGGCTTCTTCTTCTTGAGCTTTAAGCTTGGCTTCGGCTGTAGTAGTTCAAACTCAGAAGACATCAACTTCTGAAACAACTTCTAGGAAACATCCAGATCCTGAGGCTTAGTACAAGTACTTGCCTCTGCCCTTAGCTTCATAACCTTCTTCTTAGTCTTGATTCTAAACATGTTAATGCATTCACTTAAGGTTTTTGGAGCAGGTTTTTCATAAACAACTAAAGCTAGGTATGGTTCAAAATGGTTTGGTTCAGAAGTTTGTTCAGGAAGGTTTTGTGGTGATGGTTGTTCAGATATGTCAAAGAGATCAAAAACGGTGAAAGATTCAGTTGTGGGAATTTCCATAACTTTAAAGGTATCAGAAATTGTCCTTTCAAACATTTCTTGATCAGAAGGAGAGTGTGGATCAGGATGAATAGTGGATGAGTCATGGAGAGTAGATTCTTTGTTGAAAAAGGCAAAATGAAGGTTGCTATCAAAGTTTTAAAAATGAGGAGTTTTTGTAAGTGATTGGAATGTGATTATTGGAGATGTGAAAGTTTGGATAGGTTCACATGGAAAGTTTAAAGTGAAAGATTGGATGGTTGAAGCAGATGCTTGTGTGGAGGATGCAAGTTCATGTTCAGAAATGGTGATGGTTTGTGGTGAAGCAAACACATTTGTGGTTAAAGGAATTATTATTGAAACGATATCAGAAATAGATGAGATATTTGTAATAGGAACAGAAACATAAGCAGTGATTGTGGGCGGCGAAAGGGAAAATGATGTAAAAGAATATATTTGTGTGATGGAGGTGGGAATGGATGAAGTAGCATTAATAATATTAGAAACAACTTTAGAAACAGAAGTAGCAGAACTAGAAGTAGTAGACTTACTTGCAGATTCAGAAGTTCCAGTACCCAAAATAATATCTTTAAGAAATTCAGACTTCTTCTTCTTCTTCTTAGGTTCATATGTTTCTGAACTTTTCTTTCTTTTTCCTCTGAAACAATCAACACCCTCATCAGGAAGATCCGGGTAATTGAAACTGGATATATCATGTCCTTCTGCTTGCATCATCAGAACATAGGAAGCAACGCTAGATACATGATTTGTCTTGAAGAACAAAGGATAGTTGTCTACAAGAATTCTTCTGTGTTGTATACTTTCAGAAGGCTCAATCAAAGGCTTTCCATTGAGTTCCTCTATTAGCTTCATGTTCTTCAGAGTTTGTCCATTGAAAAAATATCCAATGCTTGGAGCCAGATCCTCTATGTAATTGCCTTCTCCAACCAAAAACTTTACTAAGCCACTTTCTACAAAAATGTCCGTCTGAAGACGTCCACAAGGAATATAAGATGGAATATTTTTGGTTGGATTGGCAGTGGTTCTTGCC